CAGCAGTTTTTTTTTTTTTTTCAGAAAAACCATTTCTTTTGAAAGCCCTTAATCCTTTTTTTCATTGTCGGGAGCAATCTGCTTGTTTAGTTGTTCGGGAATCTGATTTGTCAACATTATCAAATAACAGGAGATAGAAAAATTGACAGAAAAGCAGATTTGCGTGGAGATCGATTCGATAAATTTTCGACCCCGAAATTTGGGTTTGCGATTCGGCTGGAGGGGACTTAAGCTAGGGCTTTTTTGGCCCTGTTGTGCCGTGTCACAAGGTAAGCAGAAGCTTCAAGATACAATTTTTGTCCCATTTACTTCTTTGTTGTGAATTTTATGTGGGGTGGTTTCTTTAATTTATTTATTAATTAATTTATTTATCGTTTTTCCTATCAAGTGATGTTCTGGATCCATATGAATCTGCTATGCTGTAACGCGACTAATATTTATTCTATTTTTCCTTTTCCATTTCTGGGGAAGTTATTACCTTTTATGAAGAAAAAAAGACATTCATCTTCGTTCTGTTTTTATGTTTTCTGTTTCTTTGAATCTTAGGGTAAAGGCTCATGACCGTTGTTGGCTCAACGAAGGCAGAATCAGAATCGACGGCTGGGCGTGCACATATTTCTTCATTTAATTAGCTTATTTACGAGAATTAAAACAGAAAGGTCTTTGCTATGTTGGCTTCAAATATCAATGGAATCAGTTTGGTCAGCTGCTTCTTTCATTTTGCTGAGTGGCATCCTATTGAATAGAGTTTCTGATCGGACGTCAGGAGCAATATTTCTTTTAGACAGAGAGAAAAGGTTATCTTTATTTTGCTTCTGTTAGAAAATTTGGACATTGAGCAGTAGTAGATTGTCTGCACAAATTTATATTTATGGGATTTGGATTCAAACTAAGTATGTCTACTTTAGTTTCCCATTTGTTGTCTGAGTTCCATTGTGTAGGTTATATTAGGATGTTCATCGTGTGATTTTATTTGATGAATGGGTTTTCTTCATTTTCCGGTTTCTTCAGGTATTACAATCAAGCTTGTTACTTTCCCCATTGTGTTGTAAATTAATTTGGTGGTAAATTTTCTGCTATGGCAAAGTTCGTTAAGAGAAATTCGATTGAGGAAGTAGCGGAGATGGGGTGTTTTGGGTGCTTTGGTTTCTCGTTTTCGAGGAAGCCAAAGAAGGTGGTGGGGCCAAGTAGGGGTATTATGGTCAATAATAATGCATCTCACGAGTACCTGTTGGATGATGACGTGGAAGATGATGACGATGATGAGGGTGGTTCTTCTTATAATGGTGATAATATGACTGACACGGGGAATGGAGAGGATTGCGACTTTATGAGTCCCAGAAAAAAATCGGAGGAGATACTCATGAACCGTTTGCAACAGGGTTTAATATGCAGGGAATTTCCGGTTAAGGAAACCCATGCTGTTATTCGATCTGAGGTGAGTGATATATCTATTTTTTATTTATTTTTGTTTACATTAAATAACCTACCAGCAAAGTTTTATTTTTGACCTTGAAATAGGGTCTCGATTGTATGGATTTATAACACTGAAGTCTACAAATAACTCTTTTGGTACTTGAGTGCGATTGAATGCTTCACATTTTTATCAAGCTGAATCTTGAAGTTATTGTAGAATAAAAAAGTTGAAAACTTTAATAGAAGTTGACTGATTTGATAATTAGCGTATAATGATCAAAACAATGCCATCCTATGGGTTTATATGGAGCTTCAGATTTGAGGAAACTCAGACTCAGTGAATTGTGATATTCTTGTTCTTAGTTGGAACTCTTGTTCACAATGATGTCACGCATCGGTTTGTATGTTGATAATATTTAAAACATAAGGAATAATAAAAAATCTGAATCCGGAGTCATAGACTGTTCCAAGTGGGGTAGGGTAAGGTTATCACACGTAGTTTTATGTTGGTAGAATGTTGGTTATGATATTTTCAGTAATGCATCAATTATTGATGGTAATGTTTCAGGATGAAGATGGAAACAAGACGGTTAATGAATATGTTCGTGAACGCAAGATTGGAGCTGGAAGCTATGGGAAAGTGGTGAGCATAATGGTGTAATTGTGATATCCTCTTGGTTTAAATGTTATATCCTCTGGATTTGTTTCATGGAACCCAAATTGTAATTTATGCCTTTGGAAATGTTTAGGTTCTCTACCGAAGCCGTGAAGATGGCCAACATTATGCAATAAAGGTAGTGCCTCTATCATGCTTGTTCAAGTATTTTGAGTATTTAAACTAAATTTCTTTATGGTGTTTTTGTAGTATTACCTTTTGGCCAAAAAAAATTCTGTAAGTAGAGAGATTCTCATGATTTCTTTTTTGCTTTACTCCCATTAAGCACCTCATTTCTGTAAGTTTTAGATAGATGTTTTTGGTTTGGAGTATCATTTGGATATGTATGAATCCAAATGCATCAGCGAGTGATTGTTATTTCTACTCATGCTAGGGATAATCTATGCTTGTTCAACATAGTCAAAAACCTCCAGAAATAAATGAAAAGCTTATTCACATTTTCATCAGTTATTTTTATGAATACAGGCGTTTCACAAATCTCACCTATTGAAGCTACGAGTGGCACCTTCAGAAACTGCAATGACTGATGTTCTCCGTGAGGTATCTAATACTTTTCTTCTTATGCATTATCTTTGAGAGATGACCAATCAGGTTTCTTGGTTTGTACTTTGTGGTGTTCTTGCTGCAAAACTTATGATCTTGTTTGGTTCTCGTTTTCTTTATACCTCTTGTGCTGTGTACTTTACTTTGGCTTTGGATGTGTGCTGTTCTGTTATGTGTAGTCTTTTGCATGTGTCCAACCATTAAATAATTATGCATTATCAAACATCTCTATGCTTGTAATTTCCATCTGTGGCTGTTGCTTGTATAATGCAACATATATGCAGTGCTCCAAAACTAATTGAATTTTACTCAGTTTTGCCCACAGCACTGTTGTGTTATCGCAACCACTGTCTTTTTGAATTTTGACGGATTGTCTTATATATTTTGTCAGTTGTATACAATTTGTTTTGCACTTTACCGGCTGTTTATTCTGACTTTTTGTATTTCTTCCAGGTTTTAATAATGAAAGTACTGAGCCATCCTAATATAGTCAATCTAGTTGAGGTTATTGATGACCCAACTGCAGATCACTTCTATATGGGTATTATGTTCTTTCTTGATTTATCTCCTCCCCATCCCAAATATTGCTGTCTTTCGAGTTGATTTCAAGACTTCTTTTGTTTCAGTTCTTGAATATGTTGAAGGCAAATGGGTCTGTGAGGGTGCTGGTCCTCCAGGTGGTATAGGTGAAAATACTGCACGCAAGTATTTACGTGATGTGGTTTCCGGTCTGATGTATCTTCATGCCCATGTATGACGCTAAGACCTAATTTTTCGATTTAATTTATCAGTTTGGTTTAGCTTTCAAACCTTTGTCTCCCATCTTTCCACTTCCTGTGTATATATTGAGATGTGTATTGAAAAAGTTACCCTACTCTTTGCACATCAAAATCAGATGTTATGTCTTAAAGGTCTAAATTTTTAGTATTTAACAATCACATTAATTTTCCGATCCTTGGAGGTAACAAGGGAGACTATCAATGAAAAAATAAAATTTTAAATTATTTACTTAATTTATCAATTTAGTTCCAGTCGGCTGTGATGTGAACCATGACCCGTTAGAAGATAGTGTCAAGACTTTACTATTAAAAACTGGCTAGTTCTGTACCATGTGATTGATTCCTACTTGTCTTATTTTTTTACTTGTAATACTCTGCATCAATCTTAAGTTATGTAAGTGTGCTAATCGTAGGCAACTGAATTTTTCAAATTGAGAGCTGCACGTCCTATTCTGTTGGTCCAGTGTAGGAAGCTAAGAATGTGATTTCTGTAACAATACTTACATTTTTCAGTTTTTACATTCCCCATTCAGATGGTTCTTGCAAAAGTGTGTGTGTGTGTGTGTGTGCGTGTGTGTGTGTATGTGTGGTTCATACTTCTTTCACTTGCAAATCTGTGTTGTGACTTCACTTCAGATCTGCTTGGTAATAATTGTAGTTTCAGTGCAAATTCATTAGTTTATCTTATGTTTGCACTTGTCTTCAGCATTTGAATTGAAAGGGATAATTGTAGATGTGCCGTGGTACATTGTATAGTGCCATTTAGGATGCATTAGTTTGACCTGACAATACTTTTTCGATAGTGTGATTGGGTATCTTTAACCCGAATTTTTCATGCTTGCTCCTTCACTTTCACTCAACTAACATTGCTTTTAACTGACTGTTTACTTCTGCGACTGACAGAATATAGTCCATGGGGATATTAAACCTGACAACTTATTAGTTACTGCATCTGGGACTGTGAAGATTGGTGATTTCAGTGTTAGCCAGGTTTTTGAGGTAAGAGATCTTTATTTGTTGAGCTGCCACTGGTTTAAGCATTATGTTGGTTGATAATATATTGGCGATTTTAGTTTGTTGAGATGCCACTGCTTTCAGCTTTTAACTTATGCCGTGCATAAGTTGAGTCTGGGTAAAATTGCACCGACTCATTTCTGCATACTTAGAAGAAAGCTTTTCAATGTCTACCATGAGTTATTGGTGCAAAGTATGAAGGCATTGGAATACTTTGTCTATTTGACAAAGTAAATAAATTTACTTATTTGATTAGTTGTTTCCAATGATTGAAAAGATTTACAGTAACAAGAGTGTGTTAGAACTTAAATTTTCATCTGTACCAGTCACATGGATTTTTGTCCCCCACTATATGTTCTACAGGGTGAAATCTCTGAGTCTCTCAGGACTTAGGCCAGCAACTTTCAATGTTAATTACATAATTATAATAATTCTTGATGTTTCAGTCTCCTGATTTGGCTTGTGTTATCATTAATTTTAGCTCCAAATTAGTGGATGTTTGTTGTTCCTCATGATATGATATTTGATATGAATGTTGGCATCCTCTTTGAATGTTAAGCATTATTTTATTACTTGATGAATTTGCATGTAGTTCTAGATTTCCATCAAGATGCATCATGCGAACGTTGTTATCTGTTGATTTCTGAACACTATTGCCTATTCAACAAATGTATTGGATTTATTTCTGTATAGATCTTATGAAGGAGCCTAATATAGTTTAGCATTAAAGATCTAGTGAATCATTCAGTTCAAGCGGCTCCGAAATCATGTTATTCATGAGTATAAATGAATGTTTAATTTCCACCATTCTGGTTAAAATTGTTTGTAGTTGAAAATATGTGCAAAAAAATCAGAAGGATATACCTTTATTTGAGTCTGCACATTATTTGGTCTCTAGTCAATGTAGTTTTTATTACTGGAAGAAACACTCTGGTGTTATGTTGGTTTCTGTTCCTATATATGTTCCACTTTGACCTTGGAAGCCTAAGAAGTATTTGATTTAGAGTAATGCTATATGTACATAATAACTTATACATCAGGGTGTACATACACCCACATTGGGTGGGACCCATCTAAATAAAATGTTCAAGTAAGTGAGAGTATGTACACCTCTATGTACGAATTATTATGTACATGTAGAATTATCCATTGATTTATTTACTTACACATCGTAAATTTGTGAGACCTACTTTGACCTGTTGCCTTGAGGGTTCAGATCATTTCTTAAATTGACAGGAAATAGATTTCTGTGTTACAACGTCCTGTACAGAAAATGGAACATGTTAATTAAAGACCAAATACTTTCTCTTTGCTTGTGAATTTTTGGCAGGTGCCGTCTCTTTCTGATTATACAGTTTACACTTTTGTTCTTATGGGGTTTATATTTACCTGTTGCACAATGTCCCTATTTGATTGACAATCACTTTACATCTTACCTACATAAAGACAGCTCTGAATATCTTATGGGTTTTACGTTTACCTGTTGAACAGATGTCTCTATTTGATAGACAATCACTTGTACATATTATCTACAAAAGGGCAGCTCTAGAATTATAACCTCTCATTTGAATTGTGTTCTCCTAAGAACACCAAATAGCAACTAGTTCATCATCAAAGTTAAATAGTGTTTCGCCTAAAATGGACTGTTAAGAGGAAATTTCTGGCAGAATATTTTGTGAACCTGCTTGATTTGCGTGTAAGATTCAGCGTATTTCTTGCTTTTTTAATTCTGATTGCACGAAGCAAACTTGGAATAGAAGCTATCCGTTTACAAACACCAAACTTATCTTTTCCCTTAACTACAGCTATGAACCCCTTTCATTTTAGATTTGTGTTTTCTGACACTCCTATGTATACAAACACTGTAGGTGCTAAGCTGAATCAGAAAGTATGATTTAGTATTTCTCCATATTCCCGTTCACGAGGAATGAATAATACAGGACTCTAATTTAGATTTGACCAATTGACTGCTATTAAAATCTTCCTTTCATTCACCATGTACAACAATTTTTTTAACAAGATCATCATAACTTGTATGTGTAGGATGATAACGACGAGCTTCGCCGTTCTCCCGGTACCCCTGTTTTTACTGCACCCGAGTGCTGTGTAGGTCGGTATTTTCTTTATCTAAAGTAATTGTGCCTTTTACTGTAAAAAAGTTTGAGAACTTGGTTTCAAACAAAAATAATGTTTAATATCATATCATATGGCAAAATCTATCTTATGCACCAGGCATAACCTATCGTGGGAAAGCTGCGGACACTTGGGCTGTTGGAGTTACTTTGTATTGCTTTGTTCTTGGGAAATACCCTTTCTTAGGAGAGACTCTACAAGACACCTATGACAAGGTGGATTTCTATTCCAAGTCCCGAGGAGTTAATAAAACACCTCCATATTTATTACGTATCTAAAAATTTCAATTCTACCTCTAAGAAATGCAAATACACCTTTTTGAGGTATTGGTGAAACTTTCCTCAAAGATGCAAAGTTTTAGGATTGAAACAAATATCAAATGTTTCCTTAATTTTGTAATTAACTTTAAACCGTTTTAATTTTTTATCCAAAATTGAATTAATTTGTGATGGAGAATAATTATATTTTTTTTCCTGTGTCAGATCGTAAATAACCCGTTGTTGCTTCCTGATGGAATGAACCCCCTTTTGAGAGACCTTCTTGAGGGTCTTCTCTGCAAAGGTCAGTCTATCTTGATTTCACTCCTAATCGCGTCAATAATGTCTATTTATTTTTTTCTCCCATCTTTTCCTCTCTTAGCCTAAGCAATGAATTTTAAAATCTGATGTGCAGATCCAAGACAAAGGATGACACTTGAGAACGTGGCACAACATGCTTGGGTCATCGGTCAAGATGGGCCCATCCCTATGTACTCTTGTTGGTGTAAGCGTGGTGAGGGCCCATAATTGAGACCGTACTTTTACTCTTAGCAATGTTAACTCCACAAGTATTGCTCTCGTTTGGATTGTGCCTGTTTCTTGTAGAAAGTTAGTTGCGAAAAGAAAGCTTGTTCTTGGGTTTGAGGATTACCTGCGAAAAACTTCGCACAAAGAAAGTGAGTGGCAAAATGTGAAATGCATTTGAGGATTGGCAAGAACCATAGGGCTTTGGTGTAAATGGATTGAAAAGAAAACAAGAGACTTTTTTTTTTTTTTTTTTNTGAGTTTGTTTGAATGCTTCTTTCTCTTCTGAATTAAATTTCGAAAATGTTTATTGTGAAGTGTGCATATACTTGTCGAGAATGAGATGAATTGTGAATAAGCTTTGAGTGATATTTTTACAGATTTACAATAATCCTTCACCATTTTAACTAGTGAAGAAGGCAGATCTATAAGTTTGGTTCGTTTATTATTGTGCATAGAACAGTTGATATATGAATTATGTGTTCATGGTCGCCATGATGATAGATAGGCCATTTTTTCTGTCCGTTTTTGTATGTCTTAGTTATTGTGTATCTGGCTACAAAAGGAATATGGTTGTGATGGACGCCCTTGTTATGAAGAAATTTGCAAGCCTGTGATTCGTCTTAAATGCCACGAGACCTTGATAGCAAAAAGCCAAAAACCTCTTACATATGGAATTCTCTCGGGAGAAGGAATCAATGTATACATATGTATACTATATATATATATATATATACATGTATGTATGTTTGTATATGGATGAGTTCCAGAATAATGAACTGAAATAAGAATACATCATAGCCGTAAGATCTAATAATCCAACCATTAAGGATAATTTTGACATTACCTTCATCCGTCAACCTACTCATCCTACCCGTGGGATTCGTGTCACCCACCCCACCCACCACCCACACCCCTTCTCTCTTCCTCTCCGTTCTCTTCCACCATTCTCGCCCAGACTGCCACCATCTACCACTCCCCACCGTACCCATTCGCCACAACGTCGAGCACTGTTCAATTATGGAACTCCGATGGTAATCCCAACAGTTATTTCAGCAACAATAAAAAAGTAGGTATTTCACTAGTATTGTTAGGGATTTTGTTTACCAATGATAAGTTTTTTTATTAATCTTGTTTTTGGGTAAACATAGAAAGGAGAAGGTGATTAGTCGACCGTTGTTGGACAATATATTAAAAACAAAATGGTAATAAATGAAAAATTGAAAGGGGTCTGAGTCTTTGAAGAGATGCAATGTTTTTCCAGTGATGAATTTAGGCAAAGAAACAATTAACGAGCTATCAGGAGTAACCGAGCTTTCACTTCGTACTCCTGAAATCAAGAGATCAATTCTGGAAGTCGTCGACTTAAAAGGTTTGATCCGCCGTACAAGATTCGATCCTCTATTGTCAGCCTCCCGAATTCAATCCCCTACGATGACATCTATTTCGGCAGCCCGTCGTATTCGGCCGTTGGCGTTGAGGTGGGCGTCGAACCACGCCGCCACCAGAGTCTCCCCCTTAGCGGCAATGGCCAACATCCAGCTACTGGAGGTGAACCTCCAGAAAAAAGGCAAAGTAGACGCCGCCGGTGAGGAGGTCAGGGAGAAGAGGACGACCACCACAATCGAGGCCCACACAAAGCTTGCTATTGGAACCTTTAATTTGGGGCGGGGGGGATTTTTTTGAAAACTAGATAAGTACTACAGATATATGTACAATTTTAAGAATTTTAACTGTATTGCAATTTATTTTATGGATCAAATCTGTAATTTATAAAAAATTTAATAAATGCACAATAATGATAAGTAAAATGCATAGTAATTCATATGGATATACACTTTAAAAGTTCACAAATTTACCACTATGACAACGCACTACAAAATGCAAAATAGTGTTAGACAGAGTGCACATTAATGTATGTGAAACTGCACATTAGCGTAACAGTGTGTTATGCACAACGACGAAAATACCCACGCGCTAAAAATCAAAGTACCCATAGTTACATAAATGTTACCGCCCATTTGACCAGTGCTGGAGTCTTTGGCCAGCCCTGGAGCATTGATATATCCCATCCAACCGTTACAATCTATTCTTATTTCCTTCACTATCACCCATTCATATATGATACTACTTAAATCTTGAAATTTATTTATTTTTAATTATTCATATACTAATTTAACTTGACGGTTGACTTCGGGCTTTGACCATCAGCGCTGACCGTTAACTTCTTGCATTGACTTCCGATGGCAGCTAACTTTCATCATTCCGGCGTTTACCGTTGATCATAGTATGCATTATGCATGAATAAAATGTGCACTCTTTGTATGCAATTTATATGAACTGAATATGCGTTTGGCATTAATTGAATATACAATCTCTATGAACTAAATATGCACCAATAATATAAATTAAGTATGTATTGTTTATGTACTATATATGCACCACGCATGAACTAAATGAGCATTTGTCCTGAACTAAATGTGCTATGAAAATAAGCAATAACATGTGCATTTTATATAATCATTTTAAATATAAAAATTAATATTTCTTATTATACAATTAATGTAAGTTTCAATTGATTAATATGAGCAATTAATGTACATAAATAAGTGGTTATGATTGGATCTCACATGAACTAAATATGCACTATGGCGAACTAAATATGCACTACATGTGAACTGAATGTGCAGTTTTCCTGAACTAAATGTGCGGTCAAAATATGGAATTAAATGTGCATTTTATATTATTAATTTAAATATAATAATTCTTATTTCATATTATATAATTAATGAAAATTTCAATTGATTAACATGAGTCATTGATCAAATAAAATGGCTATGATTGGACCTCACATGAACTAAATATGCACAATGATGAACTAAATATTTATTTCTTATTACCTAAATATGCATAATGAATGAAATAAATATGCAATGTGTATAATATTAATTATATAATAAAAATAAAAAATATTATATCAAATTAATTATATAATAAAAGAAATATATGGACCGGTTTAAATAAATATGTATGTTAAATATGCAGTTGATATGAACTAAATATGTATGCTGAATATGCAATTTTTTATGAATCATATATGCATTGTATATGAAGTAAATTTGTACTTGAAATATGCAGCTGATATGAACTAAATATGCATTGTATTTTTAATGAACTAAATGTGCAACAATAATATCAACTAATTATATATTGTTTATATGCACTTCATATTAACTAAATGTGGATTTAGTTTGAACTAAATGTGCAGTCAAGGTATGAAATATGAACTAAATGTGGTCAACGGGCCTTAAACCGAGCATGTGGTTTGACCAGGCCAGTCCCACCCTCATGTATGCACTTTTTGAACCGTCGGGCCAATTCAACTTTTTTAATAGACATGACCATGGGCCGACCCAATCCGCCAAATCGACCTGAACTGGTCCGTGGTTAATGGGCCTTCAATCGGGCCCGTTGTTTGACCGGGTTGGTTCCAAAAAGGAGAAGAAAAAGCTTCCAAAAGAGAATACAAGAAAACACACTCCAAACAGGGAGAAAAAAACAACACACACAAAAAAGAACACAAGAAAATAGTTGGGAGAAAAAAACAAAACACACAAAAAAAGAACACAAGAAAATCTAATAAGTAGACTAAAGCCCTCGCCAACAGCTAACAAGCAACTTCAAAAGCCCCAAGGGTACCAACATCCAAGGCAACCACTCAAGCAGATGAAGCCCCGACCAAAACACAGAACTAGAAACTCCCTAACCGGCTAACTAGAACCTAACTGAAAGACCAAAACCACCCAACCGACCACCATCGGACCGGCAACAGGAGACCAGTACCTGAAAACCTCTAGCAGGATCGACGAACGCGACCCTAGACCGAAGTCACAGCCACCCTGTCGGCGGCCCCCTGTTCGCCCAACACCAGAGCGAGATCAAGAGTCGGGAAGCCCAGCCACCGGAAAGAGCGCCCAATCCCCCGCCTCCAGCCGACAGTCGAGGCTCGCTGCTGCAGGTGACCCCTCGAATCGACGAACCCTGAGCCTCCGCCATGACCTAAGAGCAACTAGGAAAACCATGTGGATGGAGAGCACCGCATCTCCGAGACCCCCACAAACAACCCTGAACCCAACCCTCAAACACCGGCGACCTCTTAGGAAGGAAGGCAGTAGCAGACGGGGAGGCACACTGCGGTCGGATTAGGGTTTCGAGGGGAGAGGCAAAATTTTTGAGGAAGATAATTATTTAATTTTCTTTATTTTTTTTAAATGAACTGGGCTGGCCCGGAATCGCCGGTTTCTACCCGAAATTGGGTTGGCCATGTCTAGTTTGGTCCCGCAAAATAACTTTTGTGCTATTTTTATATTTGATGATCTTTCAATAATTCTAACTAGTTCTAATACAAAATTTGTGTATTATATTTGGACATAAACTTCTTTTTTTAAAATAAAACCAGAATATTTAAATTTATTTTTCAATTTTTTATTCTAAAATGCATTATGATTTTATCCAAAATGTCAAAACTCATGACTCTCTCGCATTAGGTTATAACATTTCTTCTAATTTATATTATACAATTTTACTTATCAATATTTTGTCCTGAATCATGTGTAATATATAAATGAGTTTGAACCTATCGATACTAATATTTTATTTCTTATTAGCACGTACAAAATAATTTTATTTAAAATGTTAGATATAATTACTTTTTTATTTTATATAAGAAATATTTATAACAAATTGAAAATTGTTAATATGTAATATTTTAATATGAAATATAATATAAATGTCAAATAAAAAGTCATTAAAAAATTAATACTAAATAAGAAAATTATTAAATTTTAAAATCTATCTATATATATATATATAATTTGGACAACAGCATTTAATTTTATTATTACCAACATTAAATTTTATTATCCCGTCTAAACTTTCAGCATTCAATTTTAATCTTTTCAATCCCTCCTAAAACTGTTACAATTAATAAGCTATTATACATACTAAACATATTACAATTATTCAGTCATTATGCTACCATTAATTAGCCATTATTCAAAAATAAAATTATTCAATCATTATACAAAACAGTTACAAATATTCAACCACTATGCTACTATTAGAAACAAAAAAAAAAATATTTTGATTTTTCAAAACTCTGATTTTAAATCCATAATTATAGTTGTCTGCAAATTTAATCAGTATATATTTCAGTCTAAAAATATATATATAAAATTCTTCTCCAAACCTATATAGCATGTTCGTAGCCTAATGTCATCGTGTTAGATTAAATATTTCACCCATTGCCTTATGCTGGAAGCAAATTTGTTATAAAAAAATTACTTTGTATAATATACTTTCGCCTAAAAATTAAAATACAATATCATGCAAGCTGTCTACTTCATATATAATTAAAAACATATTGAGCTGATCAATTTTAAATAACACATGATACATAGCAAGTAAACACATGCATGATTTTAGCATAATAATCACTAATTAATTTAGCATAAAAACAATTCCTACAGACGCAACACATAAACAATAAACGCATGAATGATTTTAGCATAATATTCAACAATAACAATTTTTTCACTAAATTAAATCAAGAAAAACACATGCATGATTTTAGCGTAATAATCAACAATTAATTTAGCATAAAAATAATTTCTAGACACACAATACGTAAATAGTAAATGCGTGCACGATTTAGCACGATATTCAGCAATAATTTAATCAAATCAAATCAAATCTGAAAAAACATAAATATTGAAGAAAAAAAATCATACACACAATATATAATCAATTAATGATGCATGATTTTAGCATAATATTTAGCAATAATAATTTTTTATCAAACTACATCAGAAAAACGTTCATTATATATATTTTAGAAATATAATAATTTGTATAAAAAAACAAAAAAATCTGAATAATTTTTTACAGTGCATATTCATAATTAAAAATGAATAAAAAGATAGTCAAATCAAAGTTCAAAAATACTTTAATGAGCAATAAAAACTTTACTAATAGCTATAATATACTTTTGACCCCAACTCACTATTTCAAAAATCAATGAAAGATAAAGATTTTAAGCACATTAAAAAAAAAAGGCAATCAGCAATAATTCAAACCAATAAAATCAACTCTATTTTATATATAGCACCATATTTGATTTTCACCAAAAATAAGTGAGTGTATGATTAGAATATTGTTCATTATTATTATTGTTTTGCATTCGCGAATTCTCAAAATTTATTTCGAAATAGTTCCTTAATTGACATTACTAGTGTTTGTTGGAGCGGCTTGGTTCCTCTGTATGATCTTACAATGGACGACGAGGAAAACGAGATCTCAAAAACGTCTGTTAACGAACACACCAACGGTAATTTTAATTATTTTATACAATAATTACTTTAAAGTTCATATTTTCTTAACTTTTTAATACAATTTTTAATAAATTTATATTGGCAATAAGTCCACTATTAATCATTGTTTAATACTATTTTTATTTTTGTATTAATAGTCCACTATTTTCCAATTTCTTCGTCAAGTTTCATCGTCAAGCCTTTTCGGTTTTCTATTATAGTTTCTCACGCTATGACGATCAATATGAGTCAATGTCAACTTTTGTCACACGTTGACTTAGTACTGAAGAACCATGTTTTTAGTCATGACAGTTGTACGTGGCTCTTTGTAGAGTCACGAATCGAAAGGATTTAAAGATGATGTGACTATGGGGGACTCTAACGATATGAGTACAATAAATGTTGTATATAAAAAAGTTTTTAATAATATTTAGAATTCTTTCCTTAATTAACATTTTTCTTGAATTAAATTATGATTTAGTATTTTTGTTTTCTTATTTTCTTATTTTCTTTTCTATGAACTTGTCTCTATATAAATGCACAGATTGATTACTATTATATTAATAAACTCATGTAAAGAAATGTTTTATAGTAATTCAAAAGTCTTTAATAAACATAAATAAAAGTCAAAATCTACATGAACTCTTTGTAAGTCTAAAAATTGACACAGACAATAAAGTACGAGAAATCGACACTGAAACACGAGAAATTAATATTTAGACTCGAAATCTATTTATTTATATATATATGAGGATATTATTCGTTTTTGGTTATTTAGATGTGCATATCTTTGATATTTCTTACATATTGAATGACAATTAAAGCATCTTGTTAATTTTTATATTTATTTGAGCAAAAGGATCATGATTATGCTATTTATTATATTGTTATAACTCTGACGACTCACGAGAATTATATCTCATGTGCTAGCTCATATGCTAGCCTGTACTGTAGTCTTTATAAATTTGTTTATATCCTGTGAATCATAGCATCTCACCTTCCTCCACCGTAAAACAAATTTAAAGAATAAATTATGAATAAGACCATTCTTTTTTCTCACGCAAATCACGTTTCATAGAAATTAAGAACGAATATCTTTGGATGAACTAACTTTATGCAAATCATTGTTGGCAAGCAACATTTCAATTCTAACCCTAAATATTACTATATACTTAGGGGCATTAAGTTCATAAATCATACCTATTAGTTTTTCTTAAAGAAAAAAAAAATAAAAGAAAAAATAAATGATCAATTTTATTCCACGTCAATTAACTTTTGCAACCTCTCTTTTATGGGTCATGGTGTGAAAACGAACTATATTTTATTAGTGCAATTAAACACGATCGAAGTCCAAATTGGACGCGAGCTAAAAAGATAGAGCACGCGTTAAGACAAAAGTGAAAAGAAAAAAGTTGACCGGCTAGTAAATTCAGAATCGTTTTATTTTAGTTAACGTGATAAAAATTAAAAACTGCAAATAAATACACTCCAATTAAGAAATAATATGTAAGGGGGAGGACAAAAAAATAAAAAAAATAAAAAAAAAAAGTCAGTCCCATTTCTCTCTCTACTCTCTCCACCCCCACCCACCTCCCCGGCGGCTATGCTCGCCGCCCCTGAATCAGCTTATCAAGTTCATATCCACTTGGATTCCGATCTTCCATCGGCTCGAGGAGAATATTCCGGCGGCCCCGATATGCATCCATCATCCGATTAGCTTATGAAGTGTGGTTTGGATCCAAATCGGTGGCTCTCTTTGCAAATAACTTTTGCGTCTGTAAACCCTTTTGTATTATTGTTATTTTATTATGTTTTTGTTATTTGTGAGCAGGAATAGAATTAATAAGCTGGGTATAGTGATGGGACTTAACCAGTATTTCTGAAAGTTGGAATCTTTACGGGATTGGTTTAATTTTGTTCTCTTTTCTGGGGGCGTGGGTTTTAATCGAAAGTCCGATTAATGGAGGTTTCGATTGCGAAAGGTGAAAATGAAACATCTTTCTGAAAACACATTTCTGGGGCAGATTACATTATAGGTATAGAATATGATCGATAGATGAAGAAACCCTTTGGTCTAAAGATAAAAAAAGAAACTTGGATAGCTGATTTGTAACCTGTTGACAGTGGAGCTCAATTCCAAAACAAAATCTTCTTCTTGCCCATTGATGGGATGTTGTAGTAGTTGTGAACATGAACTGTTGAGTTAAATCAAGTCTGTCCTCCATGGGGCATTCAGCAAATCACACCAACTCGGATTCGAAAAAGTCAACAATGTCTTCCGAAGATTCTTTACTCGGTGGCCTGCACGATGACGTGGCGCTCTCCTGCCTTGCCCGCGCCAGCCGCTCAGACTACTCCTCCCTCTCCTGCCTGAACAAGAAATTCAACTCCCTCATCAACAGCGAGTACCTATACGAACTCAGGCGCCAATCTGGCATAATCGAGCACTGGGTTTACATGGTATGTGACCCCCGAGGCTGGGAGGCCTTCGACCCCTCCCGCAAAAAATGGACCCGTCTTCCCAAAATACCCTGCGACGAGTGCTTCAACTACGCTGACAAGGAGTCCCTTGCAGTCGGCAGCCAGCTACTCGTTTTCGGTCGCGAAATGCTAGAATTCGCCATTTGGAAGTACAGTTTGACCAAACGTGATTGGTCAAAGTGCAGCCCCATGATTCGTCCTCGCTGTCTTTTCGCATCCGGGAGTCTCGGCTCGATCGCCATTGTGGCCGGCGGGAGCGACAAAAACGGGAACGTTTTAAAATCTGTCGAGCTTTACGACTCGTCGAGCGGCGAATGGGAAGAGCTCCCGAGCATGCACACGCCACGTAGGCTTTGCTCGGGTTTTTTCATGGGCGGGAAGTTTTACGTGATTGGAGGGATGAATGGGCCCACTGAGTGGTTGACTTGTGGGGAGGAGTTTGACTTGAAGACGAGAAAGTGGAGAAAAATCGAGGGGATGTACCCGAACGTTAACCGGGCTGCGCAGGCGCCGCCGCTAGTGGCTGTGGTCGAGGAGAGGCTTTATGGGGTGGAGTATTTGACGAATATGGTGAAGAGTTATGATAAGGAGAAGAATGTGTGGGAAGATGTTGGGAGGCTTCCGGTGAGGGCAGATTCGTCAAATGGGTGGGGGCTCGCGTTCAAGTCGTGTGGAGGGAAGATTCTTGTGGTTGGTGGGCAGAGAGGGCCGGAAGGGGAAGCGATTGTGTTGAGTTCTTGGAATCCGAAGAAGTCGAATGGTGGGGCTCTTGATTGGGAGGTGGTTGGGGTGAAGGAGCATGCTGGGGTGTTTGTGTACAATTGTGCTGTTATGGGATGCTAGAGCTTTAAGTGGTTTAATTAAGAGGAAGAAAAACAGGGTTTTTTTTTTTTTGTGTTGTTTCATAAAGTTCTTGAATCGTTTGTTTTGGTTTCGGAAGTTGTAGTTTAATTTGTTTTTTTCCGTTCTTTTTATCTCGAGATTGTGTTTCATACTTTCACTGCAAAATATGAGCTGCTGCTGCTGCTTAAATTAGGGAAAATTCGATCTAGGGGCTCCTGTGTTATGTGTTTTCAGTAGTGATGCTTTGGAAATGGAGTGGGGGTATTAAACTCAAATGTGTTATGTTAGCATTCGTGTTTACGTGATACTTGGGAATATTCGACACTTTTTTTCCTCGTTGCTTGTGAGATTATGGTCATCAGGCTGTAATTTTGTATGATGGATTGGAGCCCTCTGTTTAGGACTTGTGTCTGTTGCACATTCATGAATACGCAGAAGCTAACGATTATGTACACGTATGTTCTTTCTTCTGTTGATTGTGATTTGATTGAAGCCAGGCATGTGTATTTTGTAGCAGAACACTGCTTGCTTGCTACTGGTATTTTGGAAGATTGAGTTGGTGTGAGGTTCAAGATTTATGGGATTTTTTTTATTTTTTATTTTTCTTTAGGCATTGTATATTAATTGTATTATGTTTAAATTTCAGTATGCATTAGTCATTACTTGTCAAATAATAAAGATTCTCAGTGGAAAAAAGAGACACTAAACAGAGAGGGGAGGAAAGGGAAGTATAAGGCCATCTCCAACAGTTCCGATGCAGACTTTGCGCTAAACCTTTAGGCTGTGTCCAACAATCACTTTTTTGTACCAATTTTTGTAAGATTCTTTATATATTTTTTACTAAGCAAATCAAGGTCGGATAAGTGGTGATTGACAAAAACTCCAGTGTTGGAGCCTTCCCAGTGTCATAAGTATCTAAAGGTCTGAGAATAAGGAACCTCCAAGAGGTCGGCAACTCGCTAAAATATTTAAAATGTTCAAAAAATTTAAGAAAAAATATTGGATAAAAAAAAAAAATCGCTTTTAGTAGCAAATAACTAAAGTCTATTTTTATTATACCTTAACCCTCTTTATAAAGTTTTTTCAACATAACATATTAACAATTAACATGAATTATTTACAGAAAAATTTGTGTATAACGTCACATTTATGAACATTACATATTAACATTACTTATTTTAAGACACAATCAAGTCAGCTGTGAACAAGAGAAAAATAATCAATGGGACACATACAGTGAATCCTATTATATCGTATTATTTACAATTACGTGACAGTTTGGCTTATGCCTTATGTATTCACATATTTCTCATGGTTATCGAAGGTTCGTTTTAACGGCAATAAAAGTTGTAACAATTGCCCAATACCCTCCTCTAAAGTTATCCTTCTATCATGTTTTCCACTTTTATTTTCTTATTTTGCATAAATTAATAAATTTTGTTGATGAATATATGGTAGTGTACACGACCTCTACCCATTCCAACGTCCTTCGATTTGTCCTCGAATAAGTGAAATGACATACAAAACAGCGTTGGGGTTTGTCTCGGCTTAGAAGTTCTTATGCTTAAGTCAGTCAAATAGGTGAAGATGTATTGTGTGTATATAAGTCTAGAATATTCAGAGTGTGTATAGGAATAAGGACAACATCTCACCCTTCTTATATAGAGCTATATACCTTGTTGCTCAAGTATACGTGTCGCCCGGGTGGGGCTTCCAATTCTGTTATCCACGTGTCCTTTTTATCCTAGTTATATTGTACTTATTTGTTTATCTAGTGCGTTCACATTGATCTACCTCATTAGGTAATAGATCTAGGTAATGTCAAGCTATTATCTCGGCTTCTTCTATACGTAAACAACTCTGGTATTTACTAAGCAAGTTTGCTTTTTAGGTCTGCTATCAACCTCTTCACTTCCAGGTCGAGTTTCCATCAGACTATCCTAGGGTCCTAGCTCGACCTACTGCTAAACAGATTTGCCTTGGAGGCCCTCACTGACCTGGTGCTCTGACGACCTCGAGTCTTTATGTTGTACGACTTCTGTTCGATTTATTGGTTTACTCGAACCGCTCGAGCTACTCTCCGATCGCACACGACTTAGTGGTTGGTATAATTTACTGGTAAGTGCTGTCGTAGGCACCCAAATTAACCTTGCTTGAATATATGTAGTAGCGTGAGCAAGGATCGTATCCACGGGGAATAATTTAATTAAAAAACTTTAACTATGTGATTAAAATGGGGGAGATATGATTTATAATCCTAATTATCTAATTAACAAAAAAATAAAGAGAGTATTGGTAAAAGATTATTAAATAAGAGACTCAAAAGTAACAACAAGATGAAAATGATTATATAGCTAAAGTGCTCCGGTTGAACTGATTTCCACCCCGAATTATTCTACTGATCCTTGATGCAAATATTATCAATTCATAAATACGTAGATGCCGTTGAATGGTGAATTCTGACTCCTAAATTGGCTATGTAAAATAAATCCTCCTACACAACCCTCATTACTAGGCAATTCCCAACATCGTGTAAAATTATCCTAGCAATAGCATTAAGTAGTAGAGCCCGACAACACAAGCAACAAATAACTAATCCGTTAAATGCTAACTTGTATAACTATTTTGCCTAAGAATGATAACGCCTAAATTCGGTCAATTACCACGCTCAGTTGCTTCTTACGATAGATAAATCATCTAAATCCGACTCAATATCCACCAAGTAATAGATTAAGTGCACAAGACAATAGTTGATCAGGCTACGATCCTAACATAAAATCATTGACATGAACACACAAAACAATTAATACGAAATATGAATTAATAGATAAAAACTAATTAGATCTCACAGTATTAAGTTTGGGGTTTCAATCGTATTCAACCGTAGCAAAAGAGAACTAGCCGCGCAGGGCTTCCATAATCCAAGAGAAAAGAAAAAGAAAAATAATGAAGAAAAGAGATGAGAGAGTCGATGTTGCTGTTCGTGAAGATCTCCTCCTCCTTGCGGCTCTTCTGTTACGTGCTCTGTAGGTTTCAAAGTCTGATCTCCTCATCTTTAATTATTGTTGGACTTTTAATTCTATTGGGCTTAGTGTTTACGGGCCCACGTCCAAATAATAAGCTACAAACTGTTTGTCCATACTGGCATGGCCATGTTCAAACAAAACTCAGTGTTGCCATGTTGGTTATATGTGCACCATGTCATCTAACTGCACAAAAATATCAACAAAGGTAGTTTCTACTCGAAGACACATGATAAAGTTGAAAACACGTCACTTAAGCACAAATATCCAACACATAGTCTAAATTTTACCATAATAGAAACATACATTTTCAACTTATCAAACGCCCCCACGCTTAAAATGATGCTTGTCCTCAAGCATAAAGTCAAATCCATTATCTCAACTCACAATCATCTTCTATCATATAATGTCAATTCAAAACATAAAGTAAGCATCAACACACAAGTCAAACTTGAGTCCCCATCAACCAACCAATGAGAAATACACCCAACAATCACGTAATTTAAACACGTGGAAATCAACACTTCTCACGTGATTCACTCTTTCACTCAAAGTGTATAGGCTAGATGTTAAGTGTACGCTCAAGTCAAGACATCGAAGACTTTTACCATAAGCTTGCAAAGATATCATGTCCAATCACCCAAAATGAATAAGAATAAACACAAAAACAAAGGGTTAAATCGGGTTGTAATGAGGCTTAGGGTAAGGTGGGATAAGAAAGATAAAGGCTAACGGAATCGAACCAATCACACAAACTCATCATAAACCAAGCTCAATACAAGATGATCATGCGATTCTCAATAATCAGCCGCCATAGAAAAAAAAAATATATGTACAGAATGCCTATCTCTTTTTTTCATTTTTTTTTTTTTTAAACGAAATGGAAGATAAACTAGCCTACTCCGGATAACGAGACTACGTACAAGGCACGATCACATCTAAGTATATAATACTATGAACTCTTCTTCATCTAAAAGAAATTCATATAATTGATTCGATCCAAGGTTCAAAAGATGGCATTAAGAAAAAGATATTATAGCTTATAGTGTGGTTATAAATCCAAGAAAAATCTAAGGCTCAAAGGGGCTTACTAATGATTTATGTAAAAGGGTAGACTTCAAAAGAGAGGCTATGAAGAGAAAAGGATAGTCCTAAGTACCCTTATTTTGATTTCATGCATCCAATTTCATCAAAGGTGTAAACATAGACATGCATAGCAAAGCAAGTTCTAGAAAAACCAACTAGTTGAGACATCACACATTCAAGAAAACGGAGCATGATATTCAATGTATGCTCATAGGCTCAAATCTCACCAACAAAAGGTAGTAAGTATTAATTTCATGCGTCTCTATCACATAATCATCAAGTAATATTCAACATCATGTAGCACCAAGGGCTCAAACAAAACAAGTGTGCAGACACAAGAGGAAGGTTGTTCTAGTGAACTGGCATAGATGAGTTAAAAATGACCACAAGAGAAACAACAAACAAGACTCAATACCATTAAGCAAACCTCAAAACTCTGACAAACACTATTAACCACACGTCAAATAATATGAAGTAATGCTAGGCATAGAGACTCACAAAATTTTATTCAGGTGGCAGCTCTCATTGTGCATGGATAATCTCAAAAATCTGTCAGACCTCCCAGTAAAGCTCTCACGATTCCTTATTCTGTGGCAAGGTCCAGGTTGCTGTGGAAAAAATTTCAGGTCTCTAATGACATGGTCATGTCGTTTCAAGTCCAACACCATCTGTCCCAACGTTGGAACAAAAGTCCTGCCACAGAGAACAGAAATAG